TCGTACACATTTTGACATCATCCACCAACTGTACTTATGAGATCTAAAAAGGAATTTACAAATATATTTCAAAATCTTACCACGTGAGTGCGAACCCAAACCGTACTACCTTTTTAGATCTTCATAAACAATAATTGTATTGCTAATTTGCTATTTAGGTCTTTTTCTTTTCAAAACAAATTTTTATATGGTCAGTAATTGTAGTTAATATTCTTTGGGAAGTAAACTAAATAAAATATAGTTTCATTCGTCACTACAAAAAACAAAAAAAGTAAAAAGGCAATTCAAGTTTTCCTTAATTCGTTCAATGTTTATGTCAAGTTTGGTGAAAATGATCTTTTAGACTACTGGTACCATATGTGCTGGTACCAATTTTGAAAACAGATTTAGCCCAGAAATTAATGATTATGATAACTATTCTAATATTGTACTTCCATTGATATGCTTTTTGCAATTTTTGCAAAACAACAACTTGGGATGGACACGAGGCAACTCAAACATTCCCCTCTTGTTGTTGTTGTTATTTGAGCTCTTCATGCATGCATGCTCCTTGTGGTAAACTAAAGGATCAAGTTTTTTTAATCTCTTCTTCTCTCTCTACGGTCATTCTAAAGTGATATAGACTTGACAAAGTAGAACTATAGTTTTTTTAAAAAATAAAAAAAAATAAAGTAGAACTATAGTTACAATCGGAAAAAGACCATACTTGATGAAACTAAGAAGATGGGAATAAAATACAAGATGAAGTTCTATTGATTTTGTCACCATTGAAATAAATGTTGCTGAGCTTGTGTTGGCACCATTTGAGGTGAGAAGATGAGACCAAAGACATGTGTAAAACTCTAGACACAAGCTTTAAATCTATCATTATCAATCTCACTAACATGAAGTTTTCATCTTTCTCAATCTCTTCTTCTTCCATATTGTTAGAAGATTTCTTCGTGAACCAATTCTTCTTCTGCTTCTTATTCCCTTGTATGATCACCTTTAACAATTGCTCCTTCTTCACAA